CTATCTATCTATCTATCTATCTATCTATCTATCTATCTATCTATCTACACATATACACATATATTTTCCAAGTAGAAGCTTTTACTGCCTTATGTGAACAGGAGACAAGCTTTAACATTGAGACAGCTAGAGAGCCCTGTGAAGCAAAAAAAACCCAAAAGACCAAAAAACTAAAAACAAACAAAAAAAAAACCAAACCCTTGCATTGTGTAAGAAAATATTGGCTGCTTTTTCTGCTTTGACCTATGCTCAGGGAAGCACAAAATGGAACCAATTTTGGAGTCAATGAGTAGCATCTAGGTAGCACTAATTTTGGGCAGAGCACTGAACAGGTGCTATTTGATAGGAAAGTGTGTGTATGTGTGTTGGGATGAAGGCTCGTGTTTAGAAAAGAAATGGATCAGCCAGTCATTTGTGCAAGGAGTCTCTCTAGTGGAAAACCCTAGGGATCTGTCCTCGGTTCTGTGATGTTCAAAGATTTCCTCAATGACTTGAATGAAGGCAAGGATGGGATGCATGTCAAGTTTGTAAATAACAACAAATCCTAAGAGGGCTAGTTAATTTGTTGGATGACAGAATCAGGACCCAAAAGGATTTAAATAATCAATAGTAATGAGCTGAATCTAATAACTTGAAATTTAATGGGTAAAACTGAAGTTGATTCTCAAGTTCAAAATATTATCTGCATGATTTGGGAATTGTGATTCTGTTCATTTGAAAAAAAAATCTTGGGTTCTTAGTGAACTTCAAGATTACTGTGGGTCAACAAGGTAACACGTCAACCAAAAAAGACAAGCTGAATTAAGAAAACCATAGTGTGCTCTCCTAATATTTTAAGATCTACTGTACTCTGATCTCATCAGACTCTATATGGAACATACTGGATTTAGTTCTGGACACCATTTTTGGGAAGGACATTGGCAAACTGGCATGAATACAGAGGTCACCAGCATATTAAGGAGACTATGAAATACAAGGATCATTTGAATGAATTGGGGATGTTTGGCCAGTAGAAGAGAAGACATGGATGGAACATGACAGTTGTTTTATTAGAAGGGAATAATAATGATAGATGACATTTATATTCTATTCATAGGATTTAAGTATTTACAAAAAATTCAAATATACATTCTCACTTGAGCCTTACAACATTCCTGTAAGGTAGGTAATATTATCTCCATTTTATGGATGCAGAAACTGAGATTTACAGAAGTAAAGTGAATTGCTTAAAGGCACATATCTAGTGAATGTTAGAGATGAGATTTGAATTAGGTCTCTTGAGTCTGGGGTCAGCACTCTTTCCATCATGTCAACTTAGTTTTTTTGCTTGACCTCAAGCCAGAAAGTAAAGCTAGAGACAAGTGGTAGAAAATACAGAGATTCAGATTTATGTTTGATATATAGAAAAAATGTCCAAACAATTGTTCAGAGGTGAGCATGATGTCTTATGGGTTACAGGATTCTCTATCACTGGAGGTCATTAAGTAAGGACTGAATGAACACTTGCTAGGGATGTTGAAAAGGAGATGCTGTTAAGGTATGGATTAGATCAGATGACTTCTGATGTCCCTTCCAACCTTAGTATCCTGTGATCCATGATTCCTTCTGCCAGTTCCAAACATTCATGTATTTCTCATCACTGTGATATAGGTCCTTCATACATCCACTTACTCAAATCCTTCTTTCCCTCAACTCTCAACCCATTTGCCCCCTCCTCCTTGAAACCCTTCCTTATGCTTCTAGCTGAGCTCTCCTTGCTCAAGTTTTTCACAGACAATTTTTCATTTCTTCTTTGTCCATTCCACATTCTACCTTATAAAAACACTTAGTAATGTTTTTATAATGTTATATCTCCCAGCAGACTACAAGCTCCTTGAGGGCAATAATAATAACATTTTTTTTTGGAAAGGCAAAATATTGTAGTGGATAGAATGTCAGACTTGGAGTCAGGAAATCATAAATTTGAAGCTCATGTTTGCAACTAACTAGTTGTCTGACCACAGTAAAATCCTTTAATCTCACTAAGCCTTGGTTTATTTATTCATAAAATTAAGATAATAACACCTGCAGTACCTTTAATACCAAGTTTTCATATGAAGTTCAAATGAGGTAGTATATATAAAATGTGCTGCAACTTTTAAGTACTTTGAAAATATTGGGTATAATTATTAATTTTTCATCTTTGTATCTCCAGTGAGAGACGTAGCAAGCATGGCATAATGGACAAACAGTCTCAGAGGCAAGAGGAGCTGGGTTCAAGTCCCACCACTAAGAGCTATATGATCTTGGGAAAGTCACTCAACCTCTTAGTTATCTAAGCAATTCCCTAGGATGATAGGTTACAGAGATCTGTATTGATAGAAGAAGTTTTTTTTTTTTTTACTAGGGAGTTCCCTATACCCATGAAATCACAGGTTTAGTTCCTATCCCTATTCTTTTACCTCTAGTGTAAGTCACAATTCCATGCACATAGTAGGTGTTTAATAGAGGTTTGTTGAATTAAATGATAGCCTTGAAAGTTATGCCAGTAGAGTACAAGTTCTGGCAAGTCTCCAAAAGTTTAAAAGCACTCAAAGCTGTCATCTGAAGACTAAGGTCAAGAATCCCATCACCAAACAGTCACCTTCCAGATGACTTATTTTGATCATCTAAACCCATCCAATCCATGAAACTACCTGCTAAGGTAGGGAGGAGCTGTGATATGCAATTGTGGAGGGGGTCCCATGCTGACAAAATGATGAATCTTTTGAAAATATTGATATGTGTCATATCTGTAAAATGCTTTTTTCACAATTCCATGAAACTGTTATTCAAGGTATTTCTATTTTACAGATGATAAAACTGAGACTTTTGAGAATGGTTACTAGTAAACATCTATTAATTGATTACTTCCATCTCTAGTTAACAGGTTGCTATAACAATAATACCTTATACTCTCACATAATCATTTCATTATTTGGTTATCACAATTTAGGGTGATCAGATCAAGATAATAGATTTATAGCATAAGGAAAAGATCTTATATGTCATCTAGTGTAACCATCTCATTTTATGGATGAGAAAACTAAGATCCAGAGAGGTCAAGTGACTTGCCCAATGACATACAGGTTATAATATCTATGGAAGAATTATTATTCACACCTATCTCTCCTGAACTTGAATTATGGCAATCTTTCCATGTCACCCTTCTGTTGAACAGCATTTTTTTTTTGTGTGAGGCAACATGCTTTCAATGGCTCAGGGAACTTCCGCTGAAGAAACTCCCTCTACCAATTCAGATCCATCAACTGTTTCGCAATGTAGGATCTTACAAAGTTGTCTGTAGCACTGAGAGGTTAGGTCATTTGCCCAGGGTCACATAGAAAGGATACATGAGAGGCAGATTCTCTATTCATTACCCTATTCTTGTATAGTTGTTTCATTTGTGTCTGATTCATGTTCCCATTTGGGGTTTTCTTGGCAAAGATACTGGAGTTGTTTGCCACTTCCTTCTCTAGCTCATTTTACAAATGAGGAAACAGAGGTAAAAAGAGTAAGTGACTTGTCCAAGGTCACACAGCTAATAAATTTCTGAGGTCATATTTAACTCATGAAGATGAGTTTTCCTGGCTCCAGGCCTAGCACTCTATCCACTGTACCACCTAGCTGCCCTGTGCTATATAGCATAAACCAAATGACATCTGCTTTGCCTATCATTACTATTCTTTGTATTCTCAGACAGCTCTACCTTCTTCATTTATTGTGTTTTCTTTTAGTAAAGGAGTCTATGTGCAGAAAAATGCTAGTTAATACTCATTTCTCTGGTGGTCACTTATCCTGGCAACTACAACTATTTGAGACACAGCCAAGAACCAAAAAGATGAGAAATGAATACAGC